GCGGAGTAAAACAGTATGAGTTGAGCCAGTGGGAGGGTCGGACCATGACGCACCTCCGCCTCTCAACAGTGCGGTAATGTTGGTCCGAGTCAAGTTAAAGACTTTAACCAATTCCCTCCTGTCTGCAGGAATGTCTCTCATGGCATTTCCACTAGCAGTGAAGTAATTCTGCCAATCAAAATGTGGAGTGCGAGATTTCGGGATGGCAGGGTGCTGCTGGTCATAGCCGTTGCGTTGGTGGTGTGCTGCGAGGGCCTCGCTGTGCGATATAATGGCGGCGGAGAGTGCGAGAGCCAAGCCCTTAGTGCCCGGGAGAGAGCACTCACCTGCTCCCTCAAGACTCTTGATGAGGACATGAGAGTGGCCAATCTGAGCAACGTGCCAGTGGACAGTGTGGTGCAACTATCCCTTCAGTGCAACCAAGTTTACTACTTCGAGAGTGTGTTGACGCCCTTCAGTTTATCGGGCTTTGTGCGAGTCAGAGAGCTCAATGTGGAGTATTGCAAGATCAGTGAACTCGAGGATAATACATTTATAAGCCTCAGAAATTTAAGAAATTTGACACTACGGACTAGAAACTCCGACTGGCCGGTGATGAGCCTTACGACCAAGCCAGATGTGTTCCGTCCTTTGCACCAGCTGGAGCGGCTAGATCTTAGTACTAACAATATCTGGGAATTACCAGCTGGAGCCTTCTGCCACCTCGCCACCCTCAAACTGCTCAATCTAAGTCACAACCACCTGCAAGACATCACGCAGCTGGGGTTCGGCGAGGGTCCAGCAGACAGAGGTTCCCCGACCTGCCGCTCAGACGTCAGTTCGCTCGACCTGTCCAGCAACGATGTCACGAGCCTGGTGTCGGGGTCCCTGCAGGGCTTGGGCCGCCTCCTGCACCTCTACCTGCAACACAACGAACTCGGGAAGGTAGACGACAATGCCTTCCAGGGTCTCAGCAGTCTACGCACCCTCGACATCTCTGACAACAGACTGGTGGCGCTGCCTGAGGACGCCTTCCTTCACACCCCGAGCCTCATGTACTGCCGCGTCAGGAACAACTCCCTGTCTGCGTTGGCACCGGGTTTGTTTCGAGGCCTCGAACATCTGGTAGAGCTCGATCTTTCCCACAACGAACTGAAATCTGAGGGGCTGACATCTACCATCTTCCAGGGCCTCATTCGCCTCATGTTGCTGGATCTGTCGTACAACAAGATCTCTCAGCTGAATCAGCAGGTCTTCCGCGATCTTTACAACGTCCAGGTTCTCAGACTCTCCCACAATCAGTTCCAGACCATCCCAGCTGCAGCATTTGCAGCTTGTGTTAACCTCCACACACTGGACTTGTCTTACAACCAATTGACTAGTATTCCAGATCGAGCATTCCAGGGAGTGAACGTCTTGAGTTTCCTGGCGCTGGACAACAACCAGATCAGCGACGTGGGCGCGTCCTCACTCAGCAACCTCACCAGTCTGGAGGACCTCAACCTTAATGGTAATCAACTGACGGTGATTCCAGCGGACGTGGGTCGTCTGAGGTACCTCAAGACGCTGGATCTTGGGGAAAATAATATCACGTCCGTGGAAAACATGCCCGTGAAAGGATTAGAGTTCCTGTACGGGCTAAGACTCGTGAACAACAAAATCAGTGGTAACATTTCTAAAGATACGTTCAGTGATATCCCATCCCTTAAGATACTAAATTTAGCAAAAAATGCTATAACAAATATTGAAAGTGGCACATTTGATAATAATCTTAACTTACAAGCAGTTCGATTAGATGCAAACAAGCTTACAAGTATTAATAGTTTATTTGAAAACCTTCCAAATTTAGTGTGGTTAAATGTGTCTGATAACAACATTGAAATGTTTGATTATCACTTTATTCCCGTGAGTCTTCAGTGGTTAGATTTGCATAAAAACAAAATTACTGAATTAGGAAATTACAATGAACGTCATGATCTAAGTTTGCAAACCCTTGATGCTAGTTTCAATAAACTACAATATATCAATAGCATCCAAATTCCCGACAGTGTGCAGTTGTTATTTTTAAACGATAATAGAATATCCGAGGTGGAACCCTTCACTTTCTTTAAGAAAGCAAACCTAACTCGTGTTGACTTATTCGCTAATCAGCTGGCGAAGATGGATATGTCGGCTTTGAGGCTGTCGGAGCTTCCGGCCAACAAGTCCCTCCCGGAGTTCTATTTAGGAGGGAACCCCTTCGTCTGTGACTGTAAGATGGAGTGGCTCCAGAGGATCAACGGCCTCGAGCACGAACGTCAAAACCCCCGCATCATGGACTTGGAAAGCATCTATTGCCAGATGCCTTTCCATCGTACGGGGGCCTTTATCGCTCTGGTGGAGGTCAACCCGTCACAGTTCCTCTGCCAGTATGAGACCCACTGCTTCGCCCTCTGTCACTGTTGTGAGTTTGATGCCTGTGATTGTGAGATGACGTGTCCTAGTGGCTGTGGGTGTTACCATGACCAGTCGTGGAGGTCCAACATTGTCGACTGTTCACGGCAGGATGTGCAACAAGTGCCTGAACGCATCCCAATGGATGCCACTCAGGTGTACCTTGATGGTAACGATCTGAGGAACCTCTCCTCCCATTCCTTTATAGGTCGTAAACACCTGCAAATTCTGTATGTGAATGCCTCTAATGTCAAGACCCTCGACAATGGTACATTCAGTGGGCTAACCAGACTTACGGCACTTCATCTGCAAGACAATCTGCTGGAAGCGCTAAGGGGAAACGAGTTTCAGGGGCTGCAAGGCGTGAGAGAGCTGTACCTTCACAACAACCATCTACGGTACATCCACCAACACACCTTTGCATCTCTCTCTCACCTAGAGATCCTGACACTCCACAACAACCAGCTGATTAACTTCCCTGTGTGGCGGCTGGTGGACAACACTTACCTCAGCCGTGTTTCCCTTGGTGCTAACCAGTGGTCATGTCAGTGCCAGTTCGTCGAGTCGTTTGGCATCTGGCTCAATGGGAACGAGCGGAGGGTCTCTGATGCCAGAGACATTAAGTGCTACACCGCCGAGGCTGAGGAAGAGCCTGGCTCCTTCATCATGGAGTTCAACGTTACCACCTGCATGAACACGACTGCTTTGTCCACCGTCATCCAACCCATGGTGTTGGACAACTTGTTGCACCCTGTGATCGCTACCTGTGTCGCCTTCGTCGTGGTGGTGCTCCTGGTCCTGTGTGTCCTATACCGTAGTACCATACGTGTGTGGATCTACTCTCGGTGTGGGTTCAGGATGTGCCACAAGACGACCAACACAGACGATCGTGATAAGTTGTTCGATGCTTTTGTTTCTTATAGTTCCAAGGACGAGGGTTGGGTGAACCAAGTCTTGGCTGGGGAGCTCGAGAGAGGAGAGAGACCCTACAGGGTTTGTCTCCACTACAGAGACTTCCCAGTCACGGCGTACCTCGCTGACACGATAGTGGAGGCGGTTGAGTCATCGCGCCGCACCATTATAGTTCTCTCTAAAAACTTTATCGAAAACGAGTGGTGTCGCTTCCAGTTCAAGAGTGCCCACCACGAGGTCTTCAAGAAGCGGCGACAGCGGCTCATCGTCATCGTCCTGGGGGAGATCCCGGCGCGAGACCTCGACCCAGATCTCCGCCTCTACCTCAAAACCAACACCTGCATCCACACTAGTGATAAGCTCTTTTGGGATAAGCTTAGATTTGCGATGCCCGACGTGCAGAACAGTCAACGGGTCGTCCACACCTACAGTTCCATCCCAGAGAGGTCCTCCTCGTCCACTAATAAGTACAGTGTCAATAGTCCAGCGTCCATGCATCAAAATCTTCACGGGGGATCCGACGCTTACTGGGCGTAGGGCAGTGAAGGGCTCTGCTTGTAAGTGCACAGCAGAGCTCTGTTTGTAAGTTTACAACAGGGCATTGTTTGTATGTACAGTTATACACAGTAGAACTCTGACAGTACACAGTAAAGTTCCGGCTGTAAAAGTGTACTGTACAGCAGGGCTCTGTTCGTCAGTGCTGTGTGTAGCAGTAACATGTGCAGCAGGGCTCTGTGTGAGTGTTGTCTAGTGTACAGCAGAGCTCGAGTGTATGGTAAGTGGCTGTGCTGAACTACACGTGCGAGAAGGATATATAGCTTTAAAAAAGTGATGTGAAAAACAGTGATCGAATCCTATCTGTGAAGATTGTCCTGGAAAAAAACTTAACTATTTAAAGATGCTCTGAAAAATTATGGAAACAAAATATTGAAGAAAAAACCTAGCAAAAAATAAGTGTGAAGGGGACCCAGTCTGTGCATTGCGGAGCTCTGTACATGTTATTTATCTCCAGCAATGGTTATGTAACATCTAGTCATATATATATTGTGTATGAAATTTATAAAAAGTGGCTAGGCTTTATTCCTTCCCCTTCAATCAATATATATATATATATATATATATTATATACAACGAACAAACCTGTCAGCATTTTTTTATGGCAAATATCTACTATTAAATGCTTCTTTTGTAAGTGTGCTCGGAAAAAAATCCATACAACATACTCGGCCTCAGTATTGTGTTATTGTCACTTTGACTGAAAATGATTTTTTTATGCATACCTGTTGTGCTCTGTGGGTGGGTGTGATGGTCAGTCAGACATGCACTCACTTGTTGATGACGCTCTGTGAAGAATATTTTATATGTGCTTTGGACTTACTGGGAAAATTTCTCGTTCACCTCATGCAGAGAGACAATATTTTATTAAAACATTATATTCCATTCTGATTTACGTGAGATTATGTAACCATTGTCATGTTGTTCATTGTACTGGCTTCATTCTCCCTCCCAACTTTTATAGACTCTGCACATCCACCACTCACCTCCATGTTAAAATAAATAAATAAACTCTTCTACCCCAAGGTCAAGGTCACTATGACATTGACCTCTTCTAATCACCCCTGACATGGTTTTTGCCTACTGTGTAAACAAAAGCGAACATTTACATCAAACGCTTCTAGCTACATCAGTGTTGACGTCCATTTGTAAGATGTTAATTTGAGAAGTGACATCCTGCTAACTGTTTTATATCACGAGAGTTTTGCCCACCTAATCTGTGATAATACCAAAGTCATATACAGCTTATTTAACATGTACATATTTTTTTTATACAGGATAATTTTTTCTTTTGTAAGATACTGTATATAAATTCATGTGTAAATAAAAATGCAATGGGCAATAGCAGTTTGTTTCCATTTCATTTTGGGTTCTGTGTTGCTGGGGGAGGAGAGGGGAGGGGGCACTGTAAAAACACAAAAGGTATATTCTCGGATTTGGAATGTGTTGGTTACACTATATATATATTTTGGCCACATATATTTTTATATGGAGATGAATTGCTTCCACTACTTGTTACTGGTGGAGAGGGTAGTGACACACACACACACACACACTGTCTAACTGATACGATAAGTAGATGATGTGTGACTAGTGTACTCTACTATAGAATGACTTATAAGAACAGGAACTGAACGAATCATCTCCTTACCACATAATAATATAAACCATGAAAAGAAATTTATATCACAACAATTAAATACTATATACACTATTTACATTGTTTGGGTCTACAGAATGTTTATGTTATGATGATGGGCAGTACAAGTATTAATGTAACACTTTGGTTATGTTGGTATAATTTGGTAACCTTTGGCTCTTTTCATATATAATTATAAAAAATATATAATTATTACTTGTTGCTACTCATCATAAAGTACTGAACAGTGAAGAGTTGTGGAAATGTATAATTACTGTATAAATATGGTGCCCCATGTTATAGGTCACCTGAATTGTAATGATGAATTATAGACTTGGACAGTACCTCTTGGTGGTAAGCTATAATCTGCTGGTGAATGAAAGCAAGTATGATCAATATAAGATCAAATGTACCAGGAAAATACCTTCAAATTCTACAAAATTCCGCCAAGAATTTACGTTCATATCACTGATTCTGTGTAATATAACCTGAACACTGAAGAAAAATATTGCATAATAATTGTGATGAAAGAATTTGTGAAATGTCACTGAAGGAATAATGTAAACTCAAAGAAACGTTATACTGCTTGTAGAAATTCCAATTACTGACATACAGTAATTCTGGGTTAAGTTATCTTATATGACTTCATTTTTATCAAGCTTTAATTCCGTGGTTGATTAAGTAATTCTGGGCTGTGGTATATATACGAAGTGGTTATTCCACATTATTTATTCTGAAGTTGCTATGGCAAGACTTTATACTGTACACGGTCACTGGTGGTCATTAAGTGCTGGTAAATGCCCCTCGTGTACCTGGTTTGTTACGAGGTTAAGTCAGGTCTCAGGTTGTCAGGTTTATTGTTGTCGTGGTCAAGCGAATCCCGGACTGTTCTTTACGCTCAGATAATCGTATGTTAATTGTGTTGCTGACAGAGATGGGAACTCCTTCCTTGGTAAGGCTCTGTGTCACACACCTACTATATATATATATATATATATATATATATATATATATATATATATATATATATATATATATATATATATATATATATATATATATATATATATATATATATATATATACTGTATATAACACACCCGGTAGATTGGTGCCACTCTGGCTCGGCTGTCTTTATATAAGCTCGAGGCATCAAGGTAATGTTATGAACGAAGTGAACTTTGTCAAATGTGAATTTCCAGTGCGGTAATATATGGCGGCTGAGTTAAACGTTTGTAAAACTTTATTTCAATTGAGGGCTTTAAACTGTGATGGAGCCTCACTGTCTCAGGGTTTGAACTGAAATTTACACAGTTTTTACTGAAAACAAGAGTCGAGTCTACACGATGCTGTTAAACTGCTCTTGTTTTTGGCTTTTATCTTGAAAGTTGGACAGTGTCGGGCTGGAGGGAGCGAAAGGCAAGCATTAGGGAAAGTGGTGAGATTTTATTGAATGTCCTTCACTTTCCATATTTATAGAAAAAGTTTATACGTCAACTGCAAAGCCAGATAGTTTACAAACTACGTTTTCTGTGCGAGTGTTGTGTATTATCAATTTTATTGTTCAATGAACACAGATGGAAACATACCTATTGTAAACCTATCGTACACGTAAATGGAAAATGGAAATTACAAGTATTTTGGCCCCTGGCTGCTGGAAGACCCGGCCAACATGATAACTTTTAACACTGTTCACTTTTAAGTCCTCTAACATCTTCGAGGTGGATATAACTCAGTGTTATTTACTTATACATCATAAAGCATATATACACACACTGGAAAACACTGTACATAAAGAAGAATGTTAACTATCACCGAATCACTGCTTGTAGTCCACTATACCAGGATCCTCTTGTTAATTCACTCTACGATAAAAAACGTGGACTTTAACAGTTATGAGATAATTATGTTATGTGAAGTGCACCACCTGTCTTAGTGTTACTTAAGATAACTTACAATACAAGACAGGAATATATATATATATATATATATATATATATATATATATATATATATATATATATATATATATATATATATATATATATATATATATATAACACCTGGTAGACTGGTGCCACTCTGACTCGGTTGTCTTATATAAGCTCGAGGCATGAAGGTAATGTTATGAACGAAGTGAACTTTGTCAAATATATTCACAAATGTGAATTTCCAGCGCGGTAATATATGGCGGCTGTGTGTGTGTGTGTGTGTGTGTGTGTCAGTTCACAAAAAACTAAACAATCCCTCACTGGAATGCGAAACACGACTGATGTCCAATTAGTGTTGTCAAGAGTACAGTGGAGTAAAAAGTGTGGCCCCTCACCTGACCTCACCAACTGTAAACATCAGCGAGGAACCCGTAAATGCTTTTAAGAAGGAAATTTACTGAGCTGCTTCAAAGTGTACCTGATAAATCTTGACTTAACATAGAAAAATCTTATATAAAAATTACAAATGCACTTGTTCTCATTAAATCAATATATTTTGGTCACGGGTAGGTTGGGTTGGATTGGGTTGACTACTTGATGAGATCCACCTGTGGTTAACGCTAGGAAATGTAGATACCCAGAGAGACACGGAGGCTGTAGAGAATAATGCGGTGTAAAGTAACAAAATGTCTGGGTTATGAGATAAGGTCGCCTGAATTATAAAAGTTATCGTTAAGTGGTCCATTAATGAGTTAGTTTTGGGTGGCTTATGACGTACGTGTGTGTGTGTGTGTGTGTATTTGTGTGTGTGTGTGTGTGTGTGTGTGTATTTGTGTGTGTGTGTGTGTGTGTATTTGTGTGTGTGTGTGTATTTGTGTGTGTGTGTGTGTGTGTGTCCAAAAAACAAACATTCATACTGTACGGTGTTTCTAGCCCCTAAAATCAGTGACATGCATAATGTGAACCCTTCAGCACTAACTAACACAAGTAGACAGGTGTGTTAGGAGGAGGTAGACGCCTTCCTAACACACCTCTGTTTGTGTCTATGAGTAAGGGATCAGCTTAGGGGCGCGCACACACACACACACACACACACACACACACACACACACACTTGGACCCCTTAATATTGTGTTGAGGAATATTTGAGAGAGAGAGGGAGTGAGAAAGAGAGAAGGGTAAGAGAGGATGAGAGGAAGGAATGAGAGAGGGAAGAGGAGAGGACAGGAAAGACAGAGCGAAACAGAGGGAAATAGTAAGAGGAGGAGGAAGACGGATGAGGGGATGAAGGAGAGACAGAGGGAAGAGATATGGGGGAATAAGAGAAGAGGCAGATAGATAGAGAGTGAGGAGGGTAGAAAGACAGATAAAGAAAGGGAGATGAAGAAGAGGTTACAGGGGAAGACTGAAATGATAAATAGGGAGAGACAGTGAGGACACGAGAGGAAGACAGATAAAAAGAGAGAGAGAGAGAGAGTACGAGAAACAGAAAACAAACAGGAAAGGGTAAAACAAACAAACAAACAAACACACACAGTTTCTGTACACATCCGCTCTTTTACAGGTGGGGAAACGTTTTACCTACATTATTAATTACCTTTAAGATAACTCAGGTGTCTTACAGCTTAATGAGCAAGAGGTCTGCTGTAGTCAGAGTGAACTTTTTCTACACCCAACTTTTGAACAAAACTGTAAATTTCAAGAGTAAAAAAAAATTGCATTACACTCCACGTTGACCGATGCCTTGGTATTTCACGAGCTAAAAACTTTCATTTGTGTAACTGAAAATGTTAACTAAGTAAAAAAAAAATGCCGCCCATGCGTAATGACGACATTAAGCGGAAAATCGGTGAAGCTCGGCGTAAAATGTACACAACAAAGTTCAGTGTCAGTTTTTTCAAGGTTCTGATATACGCCAGGCGAAGCGCAGTGCCCACCCGGTATATCGTGCTGGAATTTCTGGATATATAGTGTATTAACTGACGTGTCGACTACTTGATGAGATCCATAAAAGCCGCCTTAAGTAAACGTCTTAAAGTACGTCAAAAACAGAGGGTTAAGTCCTAGTGAAGGAAGTTGAGGTTTACAAAATATTAAAGGCAAAGTTTTTAGTGTGAGTCATCTCCTCGTTATTCTCGGTCTGCTCTGGGTGTTTTGGCATCACTTTAGAATCCACTCGATGAGGATATCCTTCGTTCACTCTGTCTGTCTGTCTGTCTGTCTGTCTGTTATTCCTGAAGTAAGAATAATCTGACCACTGCCAAATCCGTCTATTAACCTTACCAATATATCTGTCCACAATAAAATTCCTCAACGAAAACTAATACATCTCTTGGTGTTGCTCGCTCTCTCTCTCTCCTCCCCGACTCCTACAAAGCTCTCACATGGGTCTTGCAGTAGTAGCTAAGTGTGTCTCGTGTCATTAAAACATCAAAACCATCACGTCTCACATCCCCCGAGTCGATACAAACAGCACGTAGTAATTGCCAAACACTTCACTCATTCTTAAGCCCAGGGAGGAATAGACATTTCTGAATACGTACACGATTTAGCGTTTCAAAGACTCTCCCCCCATGACATCTCGTAGTCTTTAACAGTTACTGTAGTGTGGAAATTCGTGTACCTGGTGGATATTATACGTTGGCTTCAGCTCATTCTTAATTAATCATACCAAAGGTGTGATTCAGTTAGTTCTTTGGTTTGATTTTTTTTTAATAATTTCGTCGAGTTGGTTATTGGGTGATTTAAAACATTTTCTTTACCATTACTGATAT